CGGGCAGGACTGGCCTAGGGGTATTTTAAATTGGTTTTAATCAAATTTTTAGTAGAAGCGGCCAAATTTGAATATTTATTTTTAATCATTTTTAAATTTTGTATTGTATTGTATCATTGTTTTAAACTGGCTGTAAGCCGCCCTGAGTCCTCCGGGAGAAGGGCGGGGTATAAATTTAATAAAATCAAATCAAAATCAATACACAGAATGTTTTTGTATTAATCCTTATGATGAGCATGTGTATATAAGCGTATGTGTGTTTGTGTGTATAGATACAGTAGCAATAGCACTTAGACTTATACAGTATACTGCTTCACAGTGCTTTACAGCCCTCTCTAAGCGGTTTGACAGAGTCAGCATGTTGCCCCCAACAATCTGGGTCCTCATTTTATCGACCTTGGAAGGATGGAAAGTTGAGTCAACCTTGAGCCAGTCAGGATCGAACTCCTGGCAGTGGGCAGAGTTAGCTTGCAGTACTGTGTTCTAACCACTGTGCCACCAGGAAGGAGAATGAGAAAGGGAAGAATGAATGAATGAATGAATGAATGGAGGGAAGGAAGGATAGAAGGAAGGAAGGAAGGAAGAAATAGCAATAGCACTTAGTCTTATATACCACTTCATAGTACTTTACTTTAAGTGGTTTTTCAGAGCCAGCATATTGCCCTCAATGATCTGGGTTCTCATTTTACTGACTTCGGAAGGATGGAAGGCTGAGTCAACCATGAAGATCGAACTGCTGGCAGTGGGCAGAGTTAGCCTGCAATACTTCATTCTAAGCACTGCATGCTAAGTACATACCGATTGACTGGTATGTCAATATCAGTAAATGCATGTGTGCATGCCATCTTTCAGAGTGTTGAGATCTGGATGAGTGAGAGGGAGATTTTGGGTGAATATTAGGAAAAACATTCAAGTAGTAAGGACGAGCTGCAAAACTGGTGGAGGAGGAACTCGATGGGTGTATTTATACAGAGGCTGATGCGCCTTAAATGTTTTACAATGCACCCTCTCCCCTTGTCCCTTGTGTACATTTGTGTGTTAATGTACATATGTCTTAGGTCAAAGCATATTCTGACACTTTTATTCCATATGGGTTTTGTTAAGTTCTCTAAGGGGTCCAACCATTACCCTTGGCTAAGCTGCATTTCTAGACAGCCCTAGTCTGGGCTGAAGGCTGCTGGGTGTTGTAGTTCAGAAACATCTGGAAGATGATAGGAATGCCACAGATATTATAAAGGATCTCAGAATTTGGTCAGCTAGATACCCCGGTAAAACCTCCATTGAAAGCTGGATGTTTGTTAAAGTGCGGGTTTATTCTAATCCTAACAAGAATTTCAAACAAGAGCAAGGCAAGGTCAATGCCCATTGTCCCCTCAGAATGGGAAGGGATAAGTCCTAAAATCTTTTTTTAACAAATACCCCTCTTCCCTTTCTTGAGTCTTGCTATTGACTCAAGAGTCAACAAAACATCTTTTCTTAATGTCTAAACAGTTTCTCCAGCAGTATTGAAAATTTGCTTGTAACGTCAACTGCAGCAGACAAGAAACATTTAACCACCCATGTGGAAGATGTAAACATGTAATTTGTTCCTTTTCTGTTCCTGCCATTCTTTCATTCCTTGGTTCATTGTAGACCCCAAGTAGGGCCTGCTGGTGCACAGATGTTTTCTTTTCCAGATGTGGGCTTGTTTAGGACCCAGTTTGGCTTTTGTATCCAGCACCTGCTAATGGCCTCGATGTTTACGTACACGTAAACCATCATTTATCACTGCACAGCGTGTCGTCTCTTTCTCCAATCTTATTTGTATCTTGTTCTTGAGAGGTAGAAAGGAAGGGAAATTGGAGGGGTTGTTTTAGACACTTGGAGAGATGCATCCAAATATGCTAAATCAGTGGATGAGTCAACTTTGTTTCCATCTTCTTTACATTGGGAAGAAGGTGCCACCAATTTAGATCAAAGAGACTGGATTGATCCCCCCCCGATACTTCCAAAAAATGTATTAATGTATGCCTCAAAAGGACTTGAAGCACGATTCAGCACTCCATCTGCATTTAAAAGACAAAGGCCACTCTTTTGAAGACAGTAAAGTCCACATTTTGGACAGAGAGGACCACTGGTTTGAAAGAGGGGTCAAAGAGGCCACCTATGTCAAAATTGAACAGCCCTCTCTCAATGGGGGGGCAATGACACCATCTATCTCCAGTCTACAACACAGCCCTTTCAGCAGTTCCAGGAAGGCTCTGCATCCATTTGCACTACTCAGGTGACCCTGAGGACACAGATAAACCTCCAAGTGGCCTCAATGACTCTCTAAAAGAATGCAAATGACCAGCTGTCTGTGAGGAATATAAATCCTTCCATTCCTCATCCTTCAGCCAGAGCTGAAGAAGCTTCTTGATGAGAAGCAAAATGTCTTCAAAGGAAAAACAAGAAAGTCCAGTTGCCTCCTGAAAAAAAACATCTTTGGGATAACTCCAGAAGTTGTGAATGCTCCAACACTGGAAGTTTTTTAAGAAGAGATTGGACAACCATTTGTCTGAAATGGTATGGTTTTTCCTTGCCTGAGCAAGGGTTTGACTAGAAGACCTCCAAGGTCCCTTCAGCTCTTCCGTTATTTTGCATTCTGTTCTAATGTGGCCTGTTGTGATGTAACATTTATGTGCAGGTTTATCCATTTTTTCCCCTCTGCAGCACGGTTGCGGCAATTTTGTCCGGGTGATACAGATGTTCAACCGCACCCATCTGTACGTTTGTGGGAGTGGAGCGTTTAGTCCCGTCTGCGCATACCTCAACCGAGGACGGAGATCTGAAGTAAGTAGATCCTTTAAAATGGTTTTACCTCTTGATCAATTCCTTGCAACATTCCAAACTGCTTCAAACAAAAAAAGTTCCAAGTAAGGAGTTTGCTTTCTTAAAATTAAATGGTTTCCCTAAAACTGCTCATTTTTTTCAGGATATTCTGATTTGCTTCAAGTTAAGTGCTATTTTTTTTTTTCCGGACAGCTTCTCTCTCAGTCACGTGTATTGTGAGACCCTTGCTTGGTTAGCATGATGTACTCGGTGCTGTCTCAAGTACATGATGCCGAACAAGGATCACACAATAAATGGGATTGTATCCCATGCCGTGGAACAATTATGAAGTATTAATACCACTTTACAAGGCCTTGGTAAGGCCACCCTTGGAATACTGCATCCAGTTTTGGTTACCACGATGTAAAAAAGATGTTGAGACTCCTAGAAAGAGTACAGAGAAGAACAACAAAGATGATTAGGGGACTGGAGGCTAAAACATATAAGGAACGGTTGCTGGAATTGCGTATGTCTAGTTTAATGAAGAGAAGGACAAGGGGGGACATGATGGCAGTCTTCCAATATCTCAGGGACTGCCACAAAGAAGAGGGAGTCAAGCTATTCTCCAAAGCGCCTGAAGGCAGGACAAGAAGCAACGGATGGAAACTGATCAAGGAGAGAAGCAACTTAGAACTAAGGATAAACTTTCTGACAGTTAGAACAATTAACCAGTGGAACAACCTGCCTCCAGAAGCGGTGAATGCTCCAACACTGGAAGTTTTTAAGAAGAGACTGGACAGCCATTTGTTTGAAATGGTATAGGGTTTCCTGCCTGAGCAGGGGATTGGACTAGATGACCTCCAGGGTCCCTTCCAACTTTATTATTATTATTATTATTATTATTATTATTATTATTATTATTATTATTATTATTATTATTATTATTATTATTAACCAAGATAAGAAATTAGATGTTTCCCTCAGGACAGCCTTGTTGAGATAAAAGAGATTTCTCTTACTCCGTGCGCTGATCTAGGGAGGATAATTGATATATCAATATAATCAGCAGAATTCTGGTGAATCTTGCCTGACTTAAATATTATTTTTAACGTTATTCTTCCATGTTTTGAGTTCCAATTTTTGGGAAGTTTATGAACAGCGTCCAGCGAAACTGGCTTGAGGCCTCGGTGCTCTCTGAGTTTGATTGTTTTCTTGCAAGATGTTTCATTGCCCAAATTAGGTAACATTATCAGTGCAAACGGCTTGTCACAATGTCAACACAATAGTCCTCGACTTGCCACAGTCCATTTAGTGACAGTTCAAAGTTAACAACGGCACTGAAAAAAGTGACTTTTTCACACTGGCGACCGTTGCAGCGTCCCCAGGGTCATGTGATCAAAATTCAGATGTTTGGAAACTGGCATGTACTTATGACTGTTGCCCTGTTCCGGGGTCATGTGATCCCCTTTTGCGACCTCCTGACAAGCAAAGTCAACGGGGAATCCAGATTCACTTCACAACCGTGTCACTAATTTAACAACTGAAAGTCGTAAAACGGGTCAAGACTCACTTAACAAATGTCTCGCTTAGCAACCTAAATGTTGGGGCTCAATTGTGGTCATAACCCGAGGACTATCTCTGCAGTCTTTCCTTTTTTTTCTTCCTCTCTCCTTTAAAGGTTTTCATTCATTCCTTATTTTGCAAAATTTGCCAAACTAGGCAGAAGGGGTTTTTTTTTCTCCTTGAACTGGGAGAGAAAATGTCCATGAGATTTATCAGATTCTCTCCTTCCATGTCTTGGAACAAACGGCTAGGAATGGGAGGAGATCCTTGACCCATTTAAAAAAAAGAGGGGGATTTTTAAAAAAATATTCTTCCAAAACCTCGCAAAGAACAGGACAAAATGTTTAATTTCTCCAGTGGGCTGAGATAAACACAGCATGCATTAATTTATAATAACATGCTGTGTTTCAAGATAAGGCAGAGACTGCAAAAAAGGGATGCTTCAGCTGGGCTGTCTCTTTAACCAACCATCGATTGGTCAAATAAACTGCTGCCTCAGACATCTGGACTCTGCAGGGCACTTGACCTCAAGCTCTAGCTTTTCCTTGCTCTTATTGCAGAAGCCAACAATAGCCAAGCTGCTTCCAGCCTAAGGACTTAAAGTGTCCCTCCTGTTTGCAGCGCTGGCATCCATACGTCTTAATTGGCCCAAGTGAATTTATTTTTAGCATCCCAGAGGCAAGATTAATGGGAAATGGGACCACCTTATCGAGGAGGGAGGCCTGATGTAATTTGACTGTCTAATTCTATTTTTATTTTTAGTTTTCGGAGGAAGCTTTTGTTCAGAAAAGGAGGAAGGAGAGGAGAGGAAGAGGCAAGGAGGAAGGGAGGAAAGAAAGAAAGAAAGAAAGGAAGGAAGGAAGGAAGGAAGGAAGGAAGGAAGGAAG